AAGTAATGGGCTTGGATAGTCTAAGACATTACTAATTAATTTAATTAGTTAAATTAATTATCAAATGTTTAAATTTTGAATTTTGAATTTGAAATTTGAATTTTGAATTTGAATTTTGAATTTTGAATTTGAAATTTGAAATTTGAAATTGGAAATTTGAATTTTGAATTTTGAATTTTGAAATTTGAATTTTGAATTGAAATTTTGAAATTTGAAATTTGAAATTTGAATTTAAAATTTAAGTGTTTGAAAGTTTGAATTCAAATGTTTGAAATTCGAATTTGAATTGGCTGTGAAAAGTTGTTTCATAACAAAAAGATAAGATGAGATCTTGTTGGAACATATCAAGAGGAAATCTTTTGGACATAATCTAAGAAGATTTGGGGTGCTGATTTGGCTGTTGGTTAGTCATCAAAATCAGCTCCAGAAGATACGATCTGTTGGGAGAATATTTGAGTGATTTGATTCAAGTTTGAATGCAACTACTCAAATGTATCTGGTCATTATTTAGGCTATATGGGGCGCACCATATAACTGATTATATGATGATTTATGATAAGATATTTGATTAGGTTTTGAACCTAATATATCATAAAGATATTATAGGATGTTGTTGGCAAGATTTGATGAGATTTGATTTGCAACAAATCCTATTCTCTCTCTCTTTGATGGAGCGCCCTTTTGGAAGCGATTTTTATTAATTAAAAATCTGATTTGTTTTTAACAAATAGGCTCCTCTTGTGCGCCTCTATATATTTGTTCCTTCTAGGGTTTTTAGAAAACCAACCAAGCCATTCTCTTCTCCTCTCCTGCGCCACTTTTGTGAAGTTTTCACATTGAAAGCTTCACTGTTTCAAACACTTTTACCTAGCCTTTCTCTTCACACAGTGTGCGCTATAAATACCCTTATTAAGGGCACATTGCCCTAGATACCAGATTTTGCTACGTGAGTTGTGTTGGTGGCTGACCAGAAACACAGTCTTTGGGTTTTCTCCTTCCTTTTCTTGAGGTTCAAGGCCTTTTCTTCCTTGATTCTTCACTTTTTCTCTTGTAAACACATTGGGTGAGTGTGAACAATCCTTGTGAGGGAGAAAGAGACTTCATTTCTGAGTTTGGCTTCTGTCTTGAGAGGGTGAGCTTGTGTTTTCACGTTTTAGGAAGGAGGGAGTTTCCTTAGGTGTTTTGAAGCTTCAAGGAGCTTCCTTGTTGTGTAAAAGAACCACCTTTGTGCACTATTTTCGTGTACAGTGAGAGACAGAACCTTGGAGCTGTTGTGTGAGCTCCAAGAGCACCCTTTTCTGAGTTTGAGCTTTGGTAAGCTTCATCACCTTTGATCTTGAGTCTTTAAACTTAAAAATGGAACCTTGATGCAAGTAAATGTTAAAAGATAATAACTTAACGTTGGGTAATGTCAAACACACCTAGAAATGTATGTTTAGGTGTTTAAAATCGGTAAAAACCCAACCTTGGATGGATATCTTCACGAAAATGCAGAACTGCATTCTGTCGTGAAATATCCGGATATCTGTCCGATGAATAACCGGATATGTGATATTCGGATATGGGGTTTTGGATATCCGGATATGTGATATCCGGATATCCGGATATTGGATATCGGGATATGCACAGTGAGATATCCCGATATTGAATATCCGGATATGGTCCCGAGGAATATCCGGATATTCTGGGATTTCGTAGAACAGTAGCTGTGCTGTGTGTACATTAGGCTATTGGGGGTTTGTGGACCCTAGATTGATGAAGTTGAACTTCTGTAATTAATGATTTAAGTCAGAATCGTTGTGATTAAGGACTTATGGTTTGGTATGGAGCCTTAAGACGTAGAACGCAAGGAAAGACGTTGTCTTTAAGTTATATGCTTGTGTTGCATTATTATTGATATAGTATTGGTCCATAACAGATTGTGAATCTGCTGTTTTTGGACTTTGAGCTGTGGACTCTTGGCTTTTGGAGTTAGCTTGCAAGGTAAGCTTTCGTGTCCTCGGTTTAGCCATGTTGTGGTTCCACCATGTCCCATGGGGGTGTGGTTTATGCATGCTGTGTACATGCTTTTGGATATTTGATATGTTGATTGAACTTTACATGTAATGGCTTTTAATATGCATATGTTGTTTCATCTTGACGGGAAGCCTGAGTACGTAGCGCTATACAAGACGGTGTACCGGGGTGAATGCAAGTGGTACTTGCACGGTGTGTAGGTGATAGATGTATACCTGCACTGTCTCTGGCCAGTAAATTAGTATTGACACACATGGCATGATTATCTGCTGCATTGCATTGTTTTAGAAAAGATAAATGATAAACTGCTTTTGAACTTATATTGCACATGTAAGTGAGCTTGGGGTGGAAGATCCTTGAGGACTCACTGACTTACTGAGATTTCTAGATTAGAGATCGTACCCCACGTTTGGGGAATGCTTATTTCAGGATCAGGTAGTATGAGTACTGATGCCTCAGGCGGCAGGAGGCCGGAGCTTAGCTGATTATGTTTTACTGCTTTATGTTAGCATGACTGGATTTGGATGCTGTTTATGTTTTCCGCTATTTATGATATATTGTTGTTGAGACTGATGTTGGGCATGTTGCCTTATTTGAGTGAGCATGGGGATTGTCCATGACACTTTCTGTTAGTACTTTTAGATTGGAGTTGTATAAACTGTTAGATGGTCCGATCTACATTGTTGTAGTTCCGTGACTAGAGCCACACTTATATTATCTATATTATGAGGTATTTCAGTTAGCTGTTTTATTGCAATTACATACAGACGATGTTTTATTAATTGATTATTAAGCAAGTTGGTAATGTTAATGGCATCATAATTGAAAAGAAAAAGTAATTCCGCATTTTTAATTAAGCGCAGCTTAATACGATATTATGATAACATTACCGGATATATACGGGGTGTTACATTGAGGGGCTGAGTTCTGGGGTTGGGTTGTGTGGGTTGTCTTCTTGGCTTGTGGAGCTTCAAGAAGCCTTCTTTGTGAAGAAAGGGCATAGATTGGTTGTCTTTTTCGTTTTTGGCAAAGTCAGAACTGTGAGGAGCCATTGGTGAGCTCCAAGAGCAGTCCTTTCCTCTGTTTTAGCCTTGGGGTGAGTTGCCTAACCTTGATCATGAGTTTTAATAAGTTAAAGATGATGCAGAACTGCATTCTGTCGTGAAATATCCGGATATGGATATCCAGATATGGGTATCCAGATATGTTATCCAGATATGGGGTCTTTAGGTATCCAAATATGGATATCCGGATATGATATCTGGATATGCATATCCGTATATGATATCCGGATATTGATATCTGGATATGTCTCCGACAAATATCCGGATATTCTGGGTTTGTTAGGAACAGAAGCTTACTGTTCATCCAGAACTGATGTTTGGGGTTTGTGGACCCTAGTTTGAGGAAGTTGAACTTCTGTAATAATTGAACTAAGTCAGAATCAAGTGATTAAGGGCTTGTGGCTTGTGTGATGCCTTAAGACTTAAAACGTAAGAAAATGAGTTGTCTTTATGTTGTATGCTTGCAGAGTATGATTGTTGATATACTATTGGTCCATAACAGATTGTGATTCTGTTGTGTTTGGAGTTTGAGCTGTGGACTCTTGGCTTGCATTGTTAGCTTGCAAGGTAAGCTTTTGTGTCCTCGGGTTAGCCATGTTGTGGTTCCACCATGTCCCATGAGGGTATGGTTATATCCATGATGTTGTTTTCATGTATTGTTTTGATAAATGCTATTGAGCTGTTATATGCAAGTGCCTTTATGATATGCATGTGGTCTTCCACCTATACGGTAAGCTTGAATATGTGGAGACATACAAGATGTTGAGGTTGTGGGTGAGGTGCAAGCGGTGTTCCTTGTACTTATTGTGGGGTTGTAGACGTACGTCCTGCATTTCTCTGGCCAGTAGAAAAGTTTAAACACACATGGCATGAATATCTGTTGCATTGCATAGTTTTGAGAACTTATATTGAATTACTACTTTTTGAACTTATATTGCACATGTAAGTGAGCTTGGGGTGGAAGATCCTTGAGGACCCCTTGTCTTACTGAGATTTCTTGTTTAGATATCTCACCCCACGTTTGGGGGCGCTTATTTCAGGTTCAGGTAGTATAGGGTATGATGCCTCTTGCGGCAGGAGGCCAGAGCTCAGTTGATGATATTGCTGTTTACTATGCTGACATGTTGGATGCTGGATATTCTGCTGATGTTATGTTTTTAGTTGCTTTCATTATGTTGTTGATGTTGAGACTTCTGTTGGGGCTTGTGCCTTATTTGAGTGAGCATGGGGTTTGTCCATGCAACTTTATGTTAGTACCTTGAGTTGAGTTGTATAACTTAGTAGGTTGTCCGGTCTACGTGTAGTAGTTCCGTGACTAGAGACTTATATCTGTTATTTTAATTAATGAGGTATTTCAGTTAGTTGTCTTTTGCAATTTACATACAGGCATGGTTTTATTTAATTGATTAATTAAGCAAATTGGTAATGATAATGACGTCATAATTGAAAAGAAAAAGATATTCCGTATTTTTAATTAAGCGCAGCTTAATACGATGATATGATAACATTACCGGATATATACGGGGTGTTACAATGATCCCTATCATAGATCCTCGAGTGTACACATGTTCTATTCCTAGGGTCTTTATCTTTAAATGTATATTTACAATGAAATATTGGCGAGACATAAATATGATAAAGATAAAGTTTGCTCAAATTTATTAATCATGAAATACTAAATAGAAAAAGGTGTTCATCTGATAAAATAGATTGTCTCTAGGACAGCTATATACTAACAAGGCGAACAGGCTAGCGAACATGACCATGATGAGGGTCATGTTAGAGGAGATGAGGGCTGGCCGCAATGAGGGTCAGTTCCCTCCGCCACCACCGCCATCGCCATCACCATCTCCACCTAGTCATCATGATGGGAATGGAGGAAGAGGAACGAATATTCCTGACCCTGATGGTTTGAGCCACATGGAGGGTTTGAGTCACCTCATAGGATTGATGCAGCCTTATCATGAGGCTATGGAGGATCGAGAGACCATAGATCGCAGGCTGAATGCTACCGTAAGCATAAGCCACCATCTTTTGATGGATCCTATGACCCCATTGTTGCTGCTAGATGGCTTCAGGCCCTGGACAAGATATTCAGGGTTACGCAGTGTACGAACCCCCAGAAGCTGATGTTTGCTACTTATATGCTGGAGGGAGATGTTCACAAGTGGTGGATGAACACTTCTCAGGTCTATGAGATGCAGGGTCATGTTATCACGTGGCCATTCTTTGAGATGTTCCTTGGTAGATACTTCATGTATGATGCTCAGGAGAGGAAGCAAGGGGAGTTCGAGCGGTTGGTGCAGAGCTCGATGTCTGTTGATGAGTACTTGGCTAAGTTCAATGAACTGGCCAAATTTGCACACTTTAAGATTGCTATGCCTACACCGGCATTCTTGGCTTCTAAGTTTCGGAGAGGACTTAATGAGGAGATAGCAGACAGGATAGCTGGAGCGGCTTCCAGAGACTTTGGCACATTGATTGAACAGTGTCGTGATATAGAGGATGTATGTGTGGTCAGCAATGCCAAAAAGGCCAAAGTGTTCGAGGTGAAAGGAGCTGGTAGCTCCACTTACTGGAGAGATAGGAAGCTTGGAAGAAGGGGTAAAGGGAAGCAATTATCTACTAGACAGACGCCGAATCAGTTTAAGAGGACTTCGACGCACGGGAGTGCAGCTAGACCTGCCATTACTACCAGGTGTACCGGATGTGGGAGATCACATGTTGGGCCGTGTGCCACCGGTCAGATCATTTGTTTCCATTATGGCAAGGAGGGCCATTATGCCAGAGATTGTCCTTCGTCGGCTGTTAGAACTGCAGCATTTTAGGCAGTTCCCCTGCAGATGATTCCTACTCCACCTACACCGGCACTTGTCGTGCCACCAGCCACGGGCCAAGTTTACACCTTAGATCGACAACAGTCGGACAGAGCTCCGAACCTTGTGAGAAGTACCATTTCTATTGGTAGTCGTGTCGTAGATGTATAGTTTGACACTGGGGCTACGCATTCTTTCATCGCGACCTCGACTGCTGTGGGGCTTGAGTTGCCTATTGCTATGCTTTCTCCACTGTTGCGGGTTACTACCACCACCGGAGAAAAGTGTGATACTTCCCCTGTACATCGAAATGTCGTGTTTCAGTGGGATGGCCAAGAGTACTCGGTAGATCTGATTGGATTGCCGATGGCTAATTTGGAGATCATCTTGGGCATGGACTGGTTTTCCAGGAATTGTGTGATGATTGACTGTTGTGCTAAGAAAATGGTGATGTCTCCGTGTGATTCCACTGCCAATTCTTCTCCTTATACATCGGTGTTGCAGGCTAGGAGAGCCTTGAGAGCAGGGGCATTTGGTTATGTCTTGTTGAGAGGTTTAGTGAGTGGGACATAAGAGGGCATTACCGACATTCCTGTGGTGAGGGAATTCCTCGAGGTGGTTCCTGAGGAGATTCCTGAGTTTCTGCCACAGCGGGAGATAAAGTTCTCCATTGACCTAAGGATTGTGTCACAGGTGCTTAAGAAGAAAAAGCTTTATGCTAAGCCTTCTAAGTGTGAGTTTGGCTCAAGTCGGAGAAATTCCTTGGGTATGTGATTTCTGCAGAAGGAGTTGCAGTAGATCCAAACAAGATTGAGGCAGTGTTGGATTGGGAGAGACCCAAAATAGTTACAGAAGTGAGGAGTTTCTTGGGTTTGGCAGGTTACTATAGGAGGTTCATTGAGGGATTCTCCAAGATGGTATTGCCACTGACTCGCCTTACCCGGAAGGAGACTCCATTTTGTGTGGACTCACGAGTGTGAGGAATGCTTCCAGAAGTTGAAGGAGAGATTGACCACTGCACCAGTTTTGGTCCTTCTTGATCCTGCGGAGCAGGTTGAGCTTTATTGTGACGCCTCTAAGAAAAGGCTAGGCTGTGTGTTGATGCAGACTGGTAGAGTGATTGCTTATGCTTCGAGACAGTTGGGGTGTGCATGACAACCTTCCCGGAATCAATTCTTTTTTAATTTCTGTTCCTGGGAATAGAAATGGATAGGAAACTCGTTTGGTAAAATCGATTTATTTTTTTATTCTCGGGATGAACCGGTTTAATTTTTGTGCTAGGGAACAGAAAAAAGAATCAAAAAGTTTCTTCTTTTTTGTTCTCAGGCACAAAATGAGAAACACTTATCTCTCTCAATCACTATCCACCTCTACCATCACTACCACCACCACCATCATCCCAACACGACTGTCGCCACCATCGTCGCTGCCGCCATCGTACCACTAGTGTCGTTGTCACCAACCCTCACCACCACGATGCCACCATCACCATTACCACCACCTTCACCCATCACCACCACCATACCACTGTCACCACCACCACAACTACCACAGTCGCCACTGCCGTCACCACCACCACTATTATCGCCACCGTCACCACCACCATCATCACAACTACTGCTGTCACCGTCACCGTCACCATCGCCATCACACGCCACTGCCACCACCCCAATCGCCATCACTAAACCTAATTTACATCTATAGCATCTCAAAGATTATATTATATACTTTTTAAGATGAAAATTTTCTGAAGGGAAGAGTATATTTCAAAACGTAATTACAAGTGATAAGCACTTACGAGAAAGTGAAGATAATAAATTCTCCCTTATCCATGAAGTAATATTTAGTTACTTGTTTTATTTTATTGGTCAATAGGAAGGAGGGTTGGACTAAATTCAGATTCCCCACTTTTGACTACGAGTTAGGCTACCAAATGAGCAACTGAATTATTTTATAAAATTTTAACTTGTTAATTTTTTTCATTATAGGTTTTGAATTCTTAGTGCACTCACTTCATCCTCAGTTTAGGGTATTCCAATCCTTGAAGTAAATCTGGCTCTAGAACATTGGATCAATCAAAAGTTCCTGATCATGAGGAAAGTACCAATAGAAAAACACAATGCAGAGAAATGTGACAGTAATTGGATCAATCAAACACAATCAACTAGCACCTCAAACACTGGACATGGCTTCCACCAATTCCATAATATAAGCTCTAAAACTTCTATCAGCTGTCACTCACAAAGGCAAACAAAAAAAATGCCCTGGTGTTGGTGAAAGAAAATTGTATAAAGGAATTCAGACCACTGTGGTATGAATCCTTAGCACAATACAAAGGCACATTTCACTATTACACACTTATAATACAAGGAAGGAAAACTCAAATAATTACAGTTAAAAAAAATTCAAGGAAGCTCCCATCACTTTTCTATAGGAGCTATGTGATCTGGTCCAGCAAGAATAATCTGCATTTTAGGCATTGGAAATTTAGCAATGGTGACCAAGAGGTTAAAAAGATTGAAATAGAGTTATAAATTCTCAAATTCTAACAGATATTAGTTTCAGCATAAATCTAAAGCAAATAGTTCAGAAAGACATACATTACAGTCAAATGCAAACCTCCTTGCAAGCATGATGGCTGCATTTCTTTCTCGCACTGATTCAAAAGCTAATACAAAAGAAAGCCCTTGCTTTGGTTGCCAAAATAGTGCCTGTGCTGCGGCATTGCCACCCCCTCGAACTCCACAAAGCTAAACAAAATAAGAACAAAGCACCACATTTTAGTGTATAAAAACAAACAAGATGACAGAAGAAAAATATCAAAATCTTGAACAGAAAAATGAAACACACAGAAAGATGGCTTCATTGGTCAAGGTACAATGACCACATACAAATGATTGACAGCGAAAAAAATAGGTGTACAAGAAAAATATTAAAAACAGTGTTTATCACAGTCTTTTATTAACTAATGACAGAAAATGTAAAACTATTTTTGAGTTGTCACCGAGAATTATCTATAACTGACAGCACCCACAATTTAAGATACCTGCATTGAACTTGAATAATATTCTTTGGCAATTGTTGTCTTTCCTTTACAGAGCTTCATCCTCATTTTTCCAACATGAAGTAAATGAATAGATTCGTTTGGATGGTGTGAGCCATTTATCTGAGTTACGACAACCTGCAAAGTATTAAATACAATTAATATTAATGTCACTGAATCAGACCAGATTTTCTAAAACTTTTTGTATTGAAATGTTAACAAAGTGCAACACACAACTATAGTTTACTAGAACCAGAAACGACTTATTTATGAATTTTTCTTTATAAGACCGGAGGGACAAGCATGGAACCATATACACTTAATGAAAATACTGCTCGACTTGACAGTGACAAATGAACAAGTTACGACTACGAGCATCATGCATATAGATTTTAGATAATGAGATTGGTGTTAACAAGGATGGCACTGAAGATTCCTCCGTGAAAGAGACTTTAATACTGTTGTAAATATTGGTTATTTAATTATTTGTTGTATTGGGCCAAGCCCATTAGGTCAAGTATTATGTCAAGTATTAGGGTTTTCATTCTCTATAAATAGAGACCTCTTTGTACAGATTATTTACAATTCAATAATATTTCAAATACCCTTTTCTTTCAAGTTGGTATTAGAGCTCTCGATCCTGAGAGCTCTGCTTCCACGCCTACAAAACCTTTTTTTATTCTTTTTTCTCGTCTCTAGCTGCCATCAGTCGCCACCGGAAAAAATTTTCGAGGACCTCTTGAACCGAGAAGATCACCGTTCCTCTTATATTTCCTCTACACAGTAGCAGAACAACACAACAGAACACTTTTCATCGCGTTTGGGTCCTGTTCATCACGTTTCAACACAATAGAACACTGTTCATCGCGTTTTTGGGCTTTTTCCGGCGACCTTTCAACACCGACCTGCCACACACAGGTTCGCGACCGTCGGACGACCTCGCCGTAGAAAACTCAGCTCCGGCGGCCGTCGCACGAGCTCACACGCGCCGCCACACTCCCGGCGAGTGAGGCCCACTCGCAGACACCTCCACCTGCGCGTGGAGGCACGTGGCTCACTGTTTCAAGCTACGGCCAAAAGCGTTCTGATCGTCTCTTCATTCTCTTTCTGGATCTGTGCTTTTCTCCCAGATCGGACGTCGTTTGGTATTTTTTTGTGATTTTTTGGCTTCTTGGTGTTATCCTTTGGCCATTTTTTTTGTGCAGTATGGTCTCTTCTCAAAGAAGCTCATTTACAAAGTTTTATGATGGTGCATCTTCTAGACCTAAGAGAGATGATCGATGGTGTTCTTACTGTAAAAGAACAGGTCATATCAAGGATTTATGCTTTCGCCTCCATGGAAAGCAAACTGTCTTAGAAAAGATGGCAATGATGCGTGGTCAAGCGCATTTTACTTCCTCTGAAATAACTCCTGCACATAATGAGACCTAACCTGCATTTCGTCCAGATGAGTTAGAACGGCTCCGAACCATCCTTGATTATCTGAGTAAGCCATCTGATACTAGTGCTTTGGTTATGACTGGTATGAGCTCCAAAACGCATTCTTTCCTTTCTTCATGTAATGATTTTAAACATTCTTGGGTTGTTGATTCTGGTGCTACTGATCATATGGCTTGTTGTGCTGACTCTTCATGTTCCTAAACTCTCCACGAATCTTCTTTCTATTCATAAAATTACAAAAGATTTTTCAAGATCTCGCCACGGGGAAGACGATTGGTAGTGCTAAAGAGCAAGGTGGGTTGTACTATCTGATGTCACAATCTCCCGCAAATAAAGTAACAGATCACATCTTGATGTCTCATGGTCAATCAACTGCTGATTCTTTGATTTGGCTTCATCATAAGCGTTTGGGACATCCTCCATTTAGTTTACTCAAGTTTTTATTTCCGTCATTGTTTTTGTCTAAGTCTGTTGAGTCTTTTCATTGTAATGTTTGAGAGTTTGCTAAGCATCATCGTGTGTCTTTTCCTTCTAGTATTACTAAGAGTGTTGAACCTTTTGATCTTATTCATTCTGATGTTTGGGGTCCTTCTAAAGTCCCTCATGCTTCTGGAAATAGATGGTTTGTTTCTTTTATTGATGATTGCACTCGTGTAACTTGAGTTTACTTAATGCGTGGGAAGTCTGAGGTACCACAACTGTTCTTTCAATTTTATAAAGTGGTTAAGACCCAATTTGGTAAAAAAAATCAAGAGACTAAGAACAGATAATGGTACTGAATATGTCAATCACAGCTTTTCCCAATTTATACGAAATAACGGTATGATTCATGAACTTACTTGTGTTGACACCCCTCAACAGAATGGGGTTGCTGAAAGAAAAAATCGTCACCTTCTTGAAGTGGCTCGTGCATTAATGTTTCAGACACATGTACCCAAATACTATTGGGGAGATGCTATTCTTACTGCAGCATTCTTGATCAACCGTTTACCCACTCGAGTACTTGACCATGTAAGTCTTATTCACTCTATAACTTCTTTTTTCCCTTCTATTCCAACTATGAGTCTTCCTCCACGAGTGTTTGGGAGTGTTTCTTTTGTTCATGTTCATAAACATCATCGCAGTAAGTTGGACCCTAGGGCTATTAAATGTGTTTTTCTTGGTTATGTTCCTGATAAGAAGGACTACAAGTGTTATCACCCTGGTAGTAGAAATTTTTTTGTTTCTATGGATGTTACATTTCAGGAATCTGAGTCCTTTTTCCAAGGTCCTCATCTTCAGGGGGAGAATCCTTCACCAGAAAACTCATCACCTCCCTTCTTTAAGTCTGCAGTGTCTACTCAATACCCTGTGTCAGTGTATCCTCCTCTTGTTCCTGTTCCTTCTGTGTCTGATCCTCCTATGAGTGATACATCAAGTTCACCAGAGATACGGAAGATTATGACACCTGAGTTGGTATATCAAAGAAGGAAACAGCCCACATTGCCACAGCAACAACCTCAATCGTCTGAACCACTGGTAAGTCCTGAATCTCATATTTCTGATCATTATGTTAATACTTCTGATGATTTACTCATTACTACTGATTCTGATAATTTACCCATTGCTCTTTGTAAGAACCCGCACCGTTAATTAAGGTATTTAATTAATTAATTATGCAAAAAAAGGAAATGATTCTATAATTGACCCTAATAATTATTTATGAGGCTTAATAATCTTAATAAGTGATTAAGAATGCTGAAAGTCGTTTTTCGGAAGAAAAGTGCAGATAACGGTTCTGCTAGTCGGTATAAATGCGTGTCGAAAAAGTATCCCGGAAAATTAAAGTAAGTGCATGATAATTACTAGAATAATATGTAGGACTTGTAAAACGAGTTGAAACCGGTACTGGCTTTGAAAAGCGCGTACCGGAAAGTTGCTCAGAAAAATATAAGAAAAATATGATAAATCTTAGAAAATTATGTAGTTTCATAATCCAAAGTTTGGGATTAAAATGTTAAGCGTAGCAATTAAAGTTAATACTGTGTGTTTAAATGAGTTTTGGCTATAAATACTCCCATTATGGGCACAAAACCCTAGGATCAGATTTCTGTACGTGAGTTGGGGCTGACCATTTGCTGGTTACTGTTCCATTGGCTTTCCCTTCCATTTCTTGAGCCAAGTTGTGATCTTTCTTGAGTTTCTTCACATTTCCACCTTGTTAACACTTGAGAGCATCCTTGTGGGAGTGAAAGGAGGGTCTTTTCTGAGGTTCCAGCTTATGTGTTGAGCTGGTGAGGGGGCGGAGTTTGAGAGGAGTCATCTTGTTCTTGGTGTTTGAAGCTTCAAGGAGCCTCCTTGTTGTGTAAAAGAACCACCTTTGTGCACCATTTTCGTGTGCAGTGAGAGACAGAATCTTGGAGGTGTCTAGTGAACTCCAAGAGCATCTCTATTCTGAGTTTTGAGCCTTCGTATGTTGTACCAACCTTTGGCTTGAGTTTTAAGGCTTAAAAATGGAAGCTTGATGCATGTTAAGGTTAAAAGATGATAACTTGTTGTGGGGTAAGGCTTAACACACCTAGAAATGCATGGTTAAGTGTATAAGATCGGTAAAAAGGGAACCTTTAAGGGATATCTTCACGAAAATGCAGAAACTGCATTCTGTCGTGAAATATCTGGATATTTGTCGAACAGATATCCGGATATTGGATATCCGGATATGTGGTTTTGGGATATCCGGATATGTGAATTTGTATATCCGGATATTGCATATCCGGATATGGGAAGTGAGATATTCGGATATTGCATATCCGGATATTCTGGGATTCCGCTGAACAGTAGCTGTGCTGTGTGTACAGTAGGCTATTGGGGTTTGTGGACCCTAGTTTGATGAAGTTGAACTTCTGTATGTATTGGTCTAAGCCAGAATCAAGGGATTAAGGGCTTGTGGCTTTGATAGAAGCTTTAAGACTTGAAAACGTAATGAAAAGGCCTTGTCTTTATTTTGTATGCATGTGGTACATGTTTATTGATTTATATTTGGTCCATATCAGATTGTGATCTGCTGTGATTGGACTTTGAGCTTATGGCATTGGATAGCTAGCTTAGAGGTAAGCTTTCGTGTCCTCGGTTTAGCCATGTTGTGGTTCCACCATGTCCCATGGGGGTATGGTTATATGCATGCTGTGTTACATGCTTTTGATGTTTTGGAAATGCTGTTGAGCTATTGTATGTTAGTGCCTTGTTGATATGCATGGAGGTGTTCCACCTATACGGTAAGCCTGAGTATGTAGAACATACAAGAGGGTGAGGTTGTGGGTGAGGTGCAAGCGGTGTTCCTTGTACTACATGTAGAGAATAGACGTATTCCTACATTTCTCTAGCCAGTAGATAGTGATTACACACATGCCATAGATATCTGTTGCACTACATAGTTTTGGAACTAATAATGATATAAATGCTTTTTGAACTTATATTGCACATGTAAGTGAGCTTGGGGTGGAAGATCCTTGAGGACCCCCTGTCTTACTGAGATTTCTAGTTTAGAGATCTCACCCCACGTTTGGGGAATGCTTATTTCAGGGTCAGGTAATGTTGAGACCTCAGGCGGCAGGAGGTCGGAGCTGATTTAGATTGCTGTTATATTATGCTGCCATGATTGGATGCTGGATTTGCATGCTGCTTTTATGGCTTCAGTTTATGTTTTGGAGTTTTATGTTGAGACTTGTTGTTTACTATGTTTATTTGATGAGCATGGGGATTGTCCATGACACATAGTATTATTATGTCTTGTTTATGTCTTGAGTCTTTTGAAGTTATAATAATGTATCAGGATATTGTCCGGATTACTTGATGTAATGTCGTGATTTAGATACACACTTTATCTATATATTGAGGTATTTCAGTAGATGTCTTATTGCAATTTCACATACAGGCGATATTTTATGAAATTGATTAAGTAATCAAGTTGGTAATTGATAATGACGTCATAATTGAAAAGAAAAAAGAATATTCCGCATTTTTAATTAAGCACCGCTTAATACGATGTAATGTTAATATTCCGAGTATACACGGGGTGTTACACTCTTAAAAAAGGAAAAAGATCTTGTCCCAAGAAATCTTGTTCCTCCTGTCCCTCTTGTACTCAATACCTTATCTCCTATTTTGTTTCCTCTGCTAATCTTTCTGTGCAGCACAAAAGCTTTGTTTCAGCACTAGACTATTACAATCCCAAAATCAGTACATGAAGCCTTGAAGCCATGCAAGAGTAGATGAATGCGTTGGAGAAAAATAAAACATGGGAGGTTATTGATAGACCTAATGGAAAGAAAGCAGTAGGGTGCAGATGGGTTTATGCCCTGAAATATAATTATGATGGAACTCTTGAGAGATACAAGGATCGATTAGTTGCCAAAGGTTACACTCAAACCTATGGAATTGATTATGAAAAAACATTTGCTCCAGTTGCAAAGATATACGGTGAGAGTCTTGTTGTCCCTTGCTGCCCATTATGATTGGGATATAAATCAATTTGATGTGAAAAATGCTTTCCTCAATGGTGAGTTAGAAGAAGTCTACATGGAAATCCCGCCTGGTTTTGATTCTGTGAAGGGAGAAAATAAAGTTTGTAGATTAAAAAAGACCTTGTATGGATTGAAGCAGTCACCTCGTGCCTGATTTGGAAGGTTTACTAAGGTTATGATGACCTTAGGATACAGACAGAGTCAAGGAGATCACACTCTTTTCTTCAAGCATTCCCATAATGGGAAGCTTACTGTGCTCCTTGTATATGTTGATGATATTATTATCACGGGTGATGATTTTGTGGAGAAACAAATTCTGCAAACACGACTTGCCTCTGAGTTTGAAGTCAAAAACCTTGGGAAACTGAAATATTTCCTAGGGATAGAAGTAGCTCATTCAAGGAAAGGAATTTTTATCAGCCAGAGAAAATATGTTCTTGATCTTCTCAAAGAAGCAGGAAAGCTCGGGTGTAAACCCTCTAATACTCCTATTGAGCAGAATCACAAGATAGGCTATGAATAGGAGAGTCCTCCAGTTGATAAAGGACAATATCAACGGCTAGTTGAGAAATTAATATATCTAGCTCATACTAGACCAGACCTAGCTTATGCTGTTAGTGTTGTCAGTCAGTTTATGCACGATCCAAAAGAGAAACACATGCAGGTAGTAGAGAGAATTCTTCAGTATCTTAAAGCTACTCCTGGTAAATGATTGTTATTCCGACGTGATGGCAATCTCTCTTTAGAAGTCTACATTGATGCTGATTATGCTGGATCCGTGACTAACCATCGATCTACCACTGGTTATTGAATGTTTCTCTGTGGTAACTTAGTGACATGGAGAAGTAAGAAACAAAATGTGGTTGCCAGATCAAGTGCAGAAGCTGAATTTCGAACTATGGCTCAAGGCATTTGTGAGTTATTGGGGCTGAAAATTGTACTTGATGATCTCAAAATAAAATGTGAGGGACCTATGAAGCTGCTATGTGACAATAAGTCCGCTATTTGTATAGCTCATAATCCGGTTCAACATGATCGGACCAAACATATTGAGGTCAACCGCCATTTCATCAAAGAGAAACTTGATAGCGGGTTAATTACCACTCCATACATTCCCACTGGGCGTCAATTGGCTGATATATTAACAAAGGGACTTCCTCCAGACAGATTTCAAGAACTTACTAGCAAGCTGGGAATGATAAATATCTATTCCTCAGCTTGAGGGGGAGTGTTGTAAATATTGGTTATTTAATTATTTATTGTATTGGGTCAAGCCCATTAGGTCAAGTATTAGGTCAAGTATTAGGGTTTTCATTCTCTATAAATAGAGACCTCTTTGTACAGATTATTTACAATTCAATAATATTTCAAATACCCTTTTCTTTCAAGTAATACCATGTGAACTCTCTCTTCTCCTCACTTCTAACAATTTCGAAACACTTTATGTTGGACAAAAATATGGTCAAATGAGCTATAAAATAGACATAACAAGTGAAGAATGACAAAGCTTATATAACAATTCAAATAATTAAAATAATAAGCTCACATTGATGCTTGCATACAATTAGCAAATTATACGAGAGAAAAAAGAAAAGTTATAAGGATCATAATGACATACATTAAATTCAGTGTCATGTTTTCGCACAAGTGCCTCTACATAGGTTCCCAAACCAGCAGCTGGAAAAGAATATAAAATTAATTGAAGCTCCACTTGATTGGACACAAAAACAAGTCCATCTCTTTAAATTGATAACACAAAAACTTCATAGCTTAAATAGGAGCAAATATATAGATGTCATTCCTGTTAATGACTGATAAATCAAAAGAGCATGATTTACAATTGCAACCAAACCTGGATCAATTGGACCAGTGGTTGACAATGTGATCTGCAGAGATTCTGAAATAATATCAACTTGCAATGTGCGTCCAACATCAAAAGGATCTGGGGCATAAACTGATTTGGAAGCTCCTGAGGATAAGAAAATTGTATTACATGTTAGGCAAGGATAAAAAAGATGAACCTACCAGATATCACATTGAATAACAATCAGTATTCTAGCCTAAGGCCTCACGATTGGCTAACATAATGTGTAATGGCCACAAAAAGCAAGTCACATGCTATGAATCATAAAAAAATAAGTAGTATAACAACAGGCAATCAATGTGAACATCTAAAATAAGAAATTAACAACTACTGAGAATTTTGCTTGGCAAAATCAGAATTATTGACTGAGACTAAAGGTTAATGACAAAAGATTTGTTCATCAATAGAAAGGTGACATCTAAAAGGATGTAAGATATCAAATTGGTGATGATCTAAGGAAAAGTATATTTGTGGAAGTGAATGGCGCAGCAGAAAGGATCTGCCAATATGGAGCAGCAGATGGTTATCTCAGAAAACTTTGTAAACATACAGTTTCATTTCTCCTTTTCTGGTGCAATCTAGTTTTGACCTTTACATTCATGAAATTAATTATGCAACAGGTAAAAATATATTATCTGTCACACAGATTGATCATGCATAGCAGCAAGCTGGTAAGTTCATGAGTAAAGCATACGGCATTATAATTGACTGCGTCTATGAAGCACCGACACTTCAAAATTCCTGACGTGTCGTGTCCAACACTTCCCGACACTCCAATACTCGTTGCAAAGACTCAAAATATGTTCAAAGGTTATGTTGCGTTGCATTTTGAGTTCCAACTATTAGATTCGTTGGATTACGATTACTATTTTATTGAGTGTAATATAAACATTTGGGATATCTTATGTTTCTTCGCAAAATTGATGGGTATTATAAGTTTAGCTTTATTTTTTTTGTTAAATTATTGAATATTAAATACAATATACACTACATAAATTAAAAATATTATATAACATCAAAACGTGTCCTAACGTGTCGAATTTTAACATTTTTTAGAATTAACGTGTCGGAGTGTCGTGTCGTATCCCGTGTCGGTGTCGGGGTCGGTGCAAGATAGGACTGCGTTGAAGGGATTCACACTTTGTACTTTTCATGGGCAGTTTTCAACCGGTTGCATGCAATATTACACAGACCAGGAAGGGGGCTTTTCAAAAAAACCATTCCCCAATTAACCCCGACTAACAAGGATGGGGTGAGGACAATCCTTGTACGCAACCTTATCCTTACATATTTGCAAAAATGCTGTTTTCTAGATTCGAACTAGTGACCTTTCAGTCACAAAGGAGCAGCTTATTCCAAGGAGAATTGAATTGATAAGGCACAAAATAGAATGCCACATGGAACTGTAATCATTTTCCCATTTTTGTTGGACATAAAGGTTTGAATTGGGTTGATTGCCTATTTCTTTTTCACTTTTAAGATTTGTATTTAGTTTATGGTTTACAAGGCTTAGTATGGGTAAGCTGGTGCACTTAAGAAGCCACCTAATATACACAGAATAGAAAATAGGAATCATGAAGGCAGACACTTGTACGGTAAATTTATTTGTCAGAATAATAATTTGAGCAAGTAGCACAGAAAGTGGGAAATTTTTGAACACGAGTGAATTTTGTTACTGTAAAGCAATAAATAAGATAATAATCACAAATAAGTGATATATTATTGAAAATAATATATTGGGCAAGTATTTTGTGCTATTAAGAATTACTAGTTACAGGTTGCTTAATTTGCTATAAAAACAAACTACAGAAATGTCATCATAAAAATGTTATGCTACTATTCTCATTTTGGGACATAACCAATGAATAATCAATAACCAATCATGATATACCAGAAGTAGATAAAAGTGTAAATCATGAGTCAACTGACTTGCATGATCAACATTAAAAAAAAAGGACGCAATCCTATAGAAAATGTTACCTTAAAAATCTATCCAACATGGCATGCAAAGTGTAAAACTTACGGATGATGTACCTGAAATAAGTTCCTTTTTGGCACCTTCAGGTGATACGCGATACCACTGAATTGAACATTTTAAAAGTTCATGAGCATTATCAGAGCAAGGTTGAATTTGCAAATATGAACCTAATGCTTCAGTCCCTTCTAATTCATATAAATGGGGAATATTTTCCTCTCCTTTCTTTGTCCTTGCCAACTAAAAAGTGTAACGGAAAAAAATCAGTGATTACTTACAACGGAAGACAATCACATTACTATCAAAGAAACATATCATTCAATTCCGACAAAGTATACCTTAGTAATGAAGCCCAAACCATAAACATGTATGACCGTCTTTGAAGATCCTAAGTCTAAATCTATCATTATAGCCTCGAGGAAGGAATATGGAAGATTCAAATGCTTTTTGTCTTTTATTCATTATTGCCAATATATATATATATATATATATATATATATATATATATATATATAATACATCGATATAAGTTACACTCACAATCTTGATCATTAATCCTATTTATATCAAATGAATATGATTTATCAAATATTTGAGCCGTTAGAGGCAAGCAAATCAATATTCAAGATTTGGTATAAGACTTCATATTCTTATACCAGTGTAAGAATATCTTACCCCATATATATATATATATATATATATATATATATATATATATATATATATATATATATTGTTGTAAATATTAGAATTATTTATTTATTATTTGTATTAGCTAGAATACTCTAGAAGTGTATTTGAGCTTAGCCCATTAGATCTTTTAGTCTCTTTAAATATAGAACTCTTGTACAGCAATTACAACAATTCAATATTATACAATTCAATTTGGTATTAGAGCTCTCGATTCTGAGGGCTCTGCTTCCGCAACTGCCGCTTTTAAAAAGCGAAATCCTTATTTTTATATCTCGCCGCTATCAGCTGCCACAAAAGAATTTTTTCCAGGGACCTTGTTGGACCGAGACCACTATTTATACAGATCATCATCATTGTTGAAGACCACTATCTCGATCACTGTTCCAACAAGTTTTCTGGTGTCTTCGATCACTGTTCCGACAATTTTTTCGGCGATCCACCCACGGTTGTGATCGCCACGACGAGGCGATACTCTCTATCCCAGGACCCATCTCGAGAAGACATATTATGCTCCCTCACGGGCGTGAAACAGACGCACCTTGTCCGATTTTGCAGCGGCGCTTGACGGCACGTGGGGTATAGTCATCACACGCGACTTGGACAGACAACCTCGCCTCCTTCTCGAGTCTGGATCTATGCTTCTCTTGTCATTCGACTTGGTCACAGTCTACCCACAGTGTTTCGCTACTGCTCCGACAGTGTTTTTCTTCACTGTTTGATCGTTTCTTTTGTTTTAGCCAAAATTATGTCGGACGTTGAAGATACTCCAACCAGTCAATCATCTGGTACACGCTCGACAGCTATTCTTTCTCCAAATGACCTTCCTTCTCTTTCTCATAATTACCGTCTTAATGGAAAGAATTACTTGCAATGGTCCCAACTTGTTCGTACCATCCTTAAAGGGCGTCGTAAAATTACTCATCTTGAAGGACCGATTTCTGCCAAAACAAATCCAAAATTTGCTGATTGGGATGATGAAACTCTCTTGTTATGACGTGGCTATGGAACTCTATGACTCCTGAGGTTAGTCAACATTGCATGTTCTTACCTATCGTTCTTGAGATCTGGGATGTTCTTAGACATACTTACTCAATGAAGCAAGATGCCGCCACCTGCTATGATTTGAGGAATATGATTTTTTCTACCAAGCAAGGCTCTCTTTCTGTAACAGAGTATTATGGTATTCTGAATGGGTTATGGACTGAGCTTGATCAGTACCAGAGTTTGAAGATGGAGTGTAGCAAGGATGCAGCCACTCTAACAACCTCCATTGAACGAAATAGGATCTTTGATTTTCTTTGTGATCTCAACTCAAAATATGACCCTATTCGGGTTCAAATTCTTTGTAAGGAAAAATTACTTTCTCTTTCTAAATTTTTTCACACTGTCAGGGGTGAAGAAAGTCGCAGGTCTGTCATGATGGATGCAAAGTTGCCCGAAGGATCTGTCATGCTATCATCTAAAGCCACTACTCCAGCTCCTTCTAATTCAAAGATCACTGACAAGTCTGCTATGATCCCGGCTAAGCCACCTCAGGGGTCCTCTTTTTCTAAGCCCAGCAAAGAGGGACGTTGGTGCAACTATTGTAAAAGACCAGGTCACACAAAAGAGGTTTGTTACCGTCTTCATGGAAAGCAACAGGTTCTGGAGAAGCTTGGTAAGTCAACCTCACATGGTCAATCCTTCTTCACCCCCTCAAACATTCCTCCTATGAATGAGACCTCACAGATGCCTGATGAGTTTACTACTATTCGTCGTGAGGAATTGGAACGGCTTAGGTCCGTATTTGAATCTCTCTATAATCCTTCTGGTACTGGTACTTTGGCTATGACTGGTAAGAACTCATGCACTCATTCTTTTATTGCTTCTTGTACTTATTTCAAAACTTTATGGATTGTAGATTCTAGTGCTACTGATCATATGACTTGCTGCACTGACCCCTTTCTTTCTTATAATCCTATTACTGGTATTCGTACTATAGCAGTAGCTAATGGATCACACACATCAGTTGCAGGTTCTGGTAACATTAAAATCCAACCCTCCTTGTGTCTCAAAAATTCTCTCCATGTTTCCCAACTTGTTACCAGTCTCTTTTCTACTCATAAGCTTACTACATATTTGAATTGCACTGTAACATTTTTCCCTACTCATTGTGTTTTTCAGGATCTCACCATGGGGAAGACGATTGGAGTTACTAAGAAGCAGGGTGGGTTGTATTATTTGGTTCTAGACTTTGTTGCAAAAGGTACTAGGAATCAGACTGTGATGACTCATCAATCTACTTCAGTACCTCCTTTTAGTTTACTTAAGTCTATGTTTGTGTCACAGTTTGTTGAGTTTTTTAATTGTGATGTCTGTCGGTTTGCAAAACATCACTATGTATCCTTTCCTTCTAGTGAAATAAAAAGTGTTGAATCTTTTACCATTATTCATTCTGATGTTTGGGGGCCTTCCAAGGTCCCTAATGTTTCTGGTGCTAAGTGGTTTGTCTCTTTTATTGATGATTATTATAACACCTCGCATTTCTAAATTATATATTAATATAGTAAACATGGATTAGAGGGAAGGATTAGTGAAAATCCTAAAAATCAGGTCAAAATACAAAGGAAGGGTAAAACAGTAATTAATCAAACACGCAACCCTAGGAAGGTAAAATTGAGTAAGAAGTCTCAAATGATAAACATAACCCTGGAAATGGATTCAGAACGAAAAAATTGAGTGGTTAGGCAAGTTTCAGAAAATTCTGTGAATAGTGTTTTTACCGGGTAAAAATATCGCAGTACAGTTGCACCGTAAAACGTGCCGAATGAGTTTTGAGCTCTAGGTTTGGATATAAGTTATAAATGGTATATATGACTAGGAAATATGATTTCTGAGGAAAATTGATGGAAATTAGTAAGTTTGGGGAAGCATGCCTACGGTGCGTGTAACAGCTTAAAACTGCATTTTCTCCGAACGACCGGAAAACTCCGGATTCATCTGATCAAGGGTAATTAAAGGACAATGGTTAATGTTAAAAATTAGAGTTTCTAAATAGGTTTTGAAATTTTGGACGTTTATTGGAATCGTAGGAAAATTCGAATTAGTTTGAAATCGCGTGAGGTGGCGGTGGGGTCCACCTCACTTAAGTCACTTAAGCCACATGTCCCTATTACTATTCATCATGACCTTCTCTCCTCCCTTCCATCAAGAACCCGCGGCCTTCCCCTCTCCCCACCCCCATTTTCTTTGAAATTTCATTCTCCTCTAACTCACTCAAAACACATTGGTCGTAACCTTGAGCCATGAAACCCACTAGATTTTGAGAAATCCCTCCCCCAAACCCGCGACCTAGGTGTGATGATTTGCTCTCATGGAATTGTTTGATGCTCTAATGGTTTAGTATGATGTGGAGGAGTCCTAGGCCAAGCTATTGAGTAAGTTTCATCACATTTTATTGGTTGGATTGATTGATTTAAATTATGAACCCTAGAGGCATTTTGTGTGATTGATGTAGTTAGAGAGCTCAAATGGAAAATGTGTATTAGATAAATATGTCTTAGAATGATGTTTTGGAGTGTTGTATGTCATAAAATTTATTGGTGAAAATTGATGATAACTTAGGAAAAACTTGGATGAAATGCCATGACTGTGTTTGGGATTGTTGTTAGGATTGTGTAATTAAATTGTTGGATGTTTATATGAGTTAATGGTAGGATGCTAGGATGTATTACATAGTTGAATTGAATGGAATAATCCTTGATATAGGCCTAGGAAGATTTCGGCCAAAGAGGGGGAAAAGAGGAATTTGATGTTGTGGAATTGTATGATTGGTACGTTGTGATGTTAAATGGTAATTAGAAGGGTTGTGTGATGAATTGATGCTTTGGAAACAAAAAGAAAAATGGTTGGTTGTGTGAAATTGGAAATTGAACCTAGAGTGAAATTAATAGAAAAATGAGGTTGTGATGATGTTGAATGCAAATTGGCACCTAAAATGGCATTGGGGTAGCCTTAGGATGCTTAAGAAAAATGAAAAAAAAAATTAGAAAAATAAATTGTGTTTTAACACATGATTGGCCGAACCTCACTTGTGGGGGGAGCAAAAATTGTCATTTTGTGACTTTGGTGGATTCACCGTATATTAATGATTCGTATATGATCAATGTAGGTCGCCTCCCGCGGATTTGCACCTTGAACCGTGAGCTCGGTTAGTTACCCTTGGTCCCGGACCAAAAAGGATTGAGGTAAGTCTTTTGGAACCATGCATATGTACTTGATGATTTGCATGTGTTGGTGAATGGAAAATTAATTGGAAATGTCCTCTGTGTAGGCATTTATGTTTGTGTAACTAGCTCGGGAAATATATTACGTTGGATCTGTGGGAGAGGATTATACAGGTAACCTCTTGGTATTAGGGTTTGATCCCCTTGTGTATTCCACCATGCATGCATGAGGGTACTGGTACGAAGTGTATGTAAATAATATAGGATAACATGTTCATGCATATTGTATGTGTGGTGGTACATAGGATGTACCGTGTCTCTGGCCAGTATACTGTTTGCCTTCGGGCGTTACGGACTTCCACTAGATAGGTCTCCGTGAGGGAGTTCCGGTTGACCTGCGGTCGTGGTGTGTGATCCGGATAGGAGCACACTAGGAAGCATCGGGTGGATATGGATGGAGGGTGTCTTGGTTGATGTTCTGGGAACACGCCTTAGTTTGAAACCCGTAAGCTTATATGCCGAGGCCAATAGGCTGGACATTGCGTGGTTTTGGCATTGACCATTCTAGCTTCGTCGTATTTTGTATCCCTATGCTTCCCTACTTCACTAAATCCCTTGTTTTATCCCGTTTTCAGATGTTATATTATGTTATTTATATGCATCGAAGTGAGCCATTGGGCGGAGTATTCTCCAGAACCTCTGGATTATTGAAATATATTCGTATATCTCACCCCGCTTTGGGGTCTTTATTTCAGAAGGTAGCAGTGGTGTTGGAGCGGCGGGCAAGAAGCCCGTAAGATGATTTGGACGTAGGACTACCTTTTTTGCATTTTGTTGGCCAGTGGGCCTAGGCTAGACTTAGGTCATGAACAATGCATATGATTAGGATTATGATATCATTTTGTTCATGATGTATTTTGTCTAAGTTTAGTCTTGATTTATCATGTTTATTTTGGAGTATTTATTTTGTATATTTGAAGGAAAATTGTAATATGTCTACTTGAAGTTGTAAATTGTAATATGGAGAATTGATGTAAGAGTCTATTTAAATTTAAAAGTTTTTATTTCAATAAGACTTTAATTTTTCTGGAATCAACCTTCTCAGTTTTTATATTGACCCGGGACTCTAGATTTATTTGTTCTAGGGAAAAATTCATCTATATATAGATGAATTCATATTTAATTTATATATTGATGCTTTATTACACTACCTTTTTTGCGTAGACCTTTACATATTCGTATTTTATATCATTGATATAAAATAGGCCTATTCTAGGATGTGAATGATACTTTATGATTCAAATGATGCACGCAAATGGAACTTTGTGATTGAAATAAATTAAATTGAGAAAGTAAGCATGAATGGTGTATATTGATTAAATTGGATATAAACTGTGAAGGGTTGCAAGAGCACCAAGGCATTGCTGGTCCTTGTGTGCCACCCAATGATTATTAGGTACACATTGAGGTTGAGAGCACTTTTGTAAATTTGGGATTTATCAGAAAAACAAAGGAAACTCTGGTGAATTTTCTAGAAATTGACAAAATTTAGGCGAACTTTGGGAGAGCATATCTCCCTCCACAGAGGTCCGATAGGGACGTTCCATATGCCGTTTTGAAGCTTGAGATGTCCTCTACATTGTGGTAAAATTTGGGATTTTTCTGGGTTGGGCGTCGGCCTGTAGAAGGCAGTGAGCACGGACTACTCATATGGCCCCTGCACATGGGGCTGATCTGGAGCGAGTTTGGAAAATTTATTCCAGCTTTGTTTCTTGGTCAAATTAGGTGTATGATAAGTCAAATTGAAGCTTGAGGTGTCTAGTTTGTTGTATAAAATTTGAGAGCAATTGGTTGAGTGGATTTTTCAAAATAATTGATTGAGTGAAGGCTGTTTTGAGCCGTTTTGATGTTGGCTGGCAGATTTGCTTGTCCAACTTCAAACAGCAATATCCAGAGCAAACGAGCACTTTATGGCTCGTGTGATAGCTTCCTAGAAAGGTAAGTAAGTCTAGAATAACATACTAAAAGATGGGAGGCTTGTAGAATGTGGTTTGTCCGCAGTAATTAAAAGACCGAACCATGTTCGGATAGGTAGAAAACGTAAAAGTGAGATTTTAGCTAAGAGGATTTATGGGAACCCCTTAGTGAATTGAGAGAAGTAAAATATGATGTATAGGTAGTTTAAATAATTATTCCGCAAAGAGTTTACAGTTACGGTCACAGCTTTTATTTATTACGCTTTTTATTGTTTTAAATGCTCACGTAATAAACGGAAAAAGTTTACTCGCATTTTTATAAATGAATTGTTGTGATTGTAACTGCGCTTAATATCATAATTATACTCAAATAACATGGATCTTCTTGATGAAAGATAAGGCAGAAGTAACACAGTTGTTTATCCAGTTTTATTATATGATTTAAACCTAGTTTGGTAAAAGTATCAAACAATTGAGATCAGATAATGGTACAGAATATGTTAATCAACGTTTTTCCCAGTTTATTAAAGACAAAGTAAATGGTTCATGAACTCATATGTGTGGATACTCTTCAATATAATGGGGTTGCTGAAAGAAAAAATCAACATTTGCTTGAAGTAACCAGAGCATTATTATTTCAGACACCTGTACCCAACTCTTACCGGGGAGAAGTTGTATTAACTGTAGCCTATTTGATCAATCGTTTGCCTTCCAAAGTCCTTGGTCATGTAAGTCATGTTGATCTCATGACCTCTTTTTTTGTTTTTGTTCCAATTATGCAGAATCTTCAGTCTCGTGTCTTTGGATGTGTTAGCTTCGTCCATATCCATAAACAACATCGGAGTAAATTAGAGCCTAGAGCCCTTAAGTGTGTCTTCCTTGGTTATACTCCCAACAAGAAAGGATACAAATGTTACCATCCTCCAAGTCGTAGATTCTTTGTCTCTATGTCTGAGTCTTACTTTCTACACCCTCAGCTTCAAGGGGAGAATAGTATAGAAGCTTCATCCATTTTCTTCGAGTCTGAGTCTCCTACCCCAGTAGTTACACTACATGACAATGAGAAGGAAGACTTAGTTGCTGAAGCTGAAAATTCATCTAATTCCACGTGTGACATGCCTCCTATTGATAGACAGAAAGTATGCAAAGCTGGAACACCCGAACTATTGTACCAAAAGAAGAAACAACCAACATTGCCTCACCAACAACTGCAATCGCCTGAACCACTGGTAAGTACTGAATACACTACTTCTTTTATTCCTGAGCATGATATTAATTCTGATGACTTACCCATTGCTGTAAGGAAAGGGAAAAGGTCTTGTACCTAAGAATCTCATTTTGTCTCCTCTAAGAATCTCTCTATGCAGCATAGATTTTTTATTACAGCACTTCCATTTCAATCCTGAAATTAGTACATGAAGCATTAAAGGATGATAATTGCGTTCAAGCCATGCATGACGAGATGAATGCTTTGGAGAAGAATAATACATTGGAAATTGTTGACAAGCCAAATGGAAAAAGGGCAGTAGGATGCAGATGGGTGTATACTCCGAAGTATAATTCTGATGGGACTCTTGAGAGGTATAAAGCTCGAATGGTAACCAAGGGATACACACAGACCTATGGTATTGATTACGAAGAAACATTTGCTCCAGTGGCCAAAATGAACACTGTAAGAGGTTTATTGTCTCTTGCTGCTCATTTGGATTGGGGTTGGAAACAATTTGATGTGAAAAATGCCTTCCTCAATGGCAAATTAGAAGAAGAGGTTTACATGGAGATCTCACCAGGATTTAACTCTACAAATGGAGATAATAAAGTTTGCAGATTGAAAAAAACATTGTATGGCTTGAGGCAATGCCCACGTGCTTGGTTTGGAAGATTTACCAAAGTTATGCTTTCATTGGGATACAAGCAAAGTCAAGGAGATCATACACTCTTCTTTAAACATTCTCAGGAAAGTAAGACCACTATCCTTCTAGTTTATGTTGATGATATGATTATAACAGGGGATGATATATGTGAGAACTGTGCTCTGGAAAAAAGACTTACTGCTGAATTTGAAGTTGATCTTGGAAACCTGAGATACTTTCTTGGGATAGAAGTTGCTCATTCAAAACAAGGCATTTTTATTTGTCAACGGAAGTATGTTCTTGACTCCCTTAAAGAAGCAAAAAACTTGGGTGTAAACCTTCCAGTACTCCGATTGAGCAAAATCACAGACTAGGAAGTGAAAATGAGAGTCCTCCAGTTGACAAAGGATAGTATCAACGAATAATTGGAAGATTGATATATCTAGCTCATACTAGACCAGATCTAGCTTATGCAGTTAGTATTGTTAGACAATTCATGCAAGACCCACTGGACAAACATCTGCGAGCTGTGGACAGGATTCTCCAATACTTGCAAGGCACACCAGGCAGAAGACTATTATTCCAAATAGGAGGAAACCTATCTTTAGAATTTTATATAGACGCCGATTATGCTGGATCTGTGACTGATCGACGGTCCACTTCGGGCTATTATATGTTTCTCTGTGGAAATCAAATAGCATGGAGAAGTAAAAAGAAAAATGTAGTTGCTAGATCAAGTGCAGAAGCAGAATTTTGGGTCATGGCTCAAGGCATCTGTGAGTTACTGTGGTTGAAAATCATTCTCGATGATATCAAGGTGAGATATGGAGGATCTATAAAGTTACTCTGTGATAACAAGTCAGCTATCTGTATAGCCCATAATCCAGTCCAACGCGATCGAACCAAACATTGAGATTGATCGCCACTTCATCAAAGAGAAACTAGATAATGGACTGATCACTACTCTATATATTCCTTCTGGTCGTTAATTGGCTGATGTCTTGACAAAGGTCTTCCTAATAATAGGTTTCAAGAGCTTACTAGCAAGCTGGGAATGATAAATATTCATTCCTCAGCTTGAGGGGGAGTGTTGTAAATATTAGAATTATTTATTTATTATTTGTATTAGCTAGAATACTCTAGAAGTGTATTTGAGCTTAGCCCATTAGATCTCTTAGTCTCTTTAAATAGAAAACTCTTGTACAGCTATTACAACAATTCTATATTATACAATTCAATTTATATATATATATATATAAAATAGACAGACACACACAGCGTACTGCTAAAACTTGTTATGAGCAAAGTTTTCTCAACCACCCTACAAAAAACCAAACTAAAAAACATAGTGAAGTTAACCAATAAGAATCAACATACTGCTGAATAAACCCAACAGCTGCCTAAAGTCTTGTACATAAAAGCTATGAGTATTTCATAAAACCGGTCAAAGACACTATTCAGATCATCAACTCTTCAAAATGGCATATGATAGACATACCTCCTTTTGTAGTCGAAGATAATGTCTAGACTTCTCTTCAAGTTGAGCCCTCAATGCTCGAAGCTCATATTCCATATCCATAACCTAAAAATCAATCAGCAACCAATGTATTCATTTCCTCAAAATAGCAATAAAAAAATGTTAATATCATGGAAATATGATATGAGGCAACGAAAATAGCAGAAGAAAGCTATTTCAATATACGAGAACAATATCAAATATTATCAATAATTTAAACAAAAAATACTGCAACCATACTCATAATATATTCCCAGAAATGCTCTGGTTCAGGATTCATTTATCCTTTTTTTATGTATTTGGTTAAAGAAGTTTAATCCACCATGAGAGATGAAATAGGAACAAAGGTACAATATATACCTTGCTTGGCTGATGCAGCATTTTGATTCTCCGAGCCTCTTGAACCTCCTTCATTAATTGCTCCAGGTCCTAAAGTCCCCATAGAACTAAATTTTGTTAAAATGAAAATTACTTAGCTGATACAGCACTGAAATATCAACAGTTACACTTCCTATGCAAGCAACCAATATTTTGATTATTGAAGAATCTTTCTTATTTTGTAATTTCTCATAAATAAGTTTTATTAGAGAGAAAATGAGTAAAGTACAACAAGGGGAACATTTATTAAAAAAAGGGAAAAGAATCAAGAATGCATCAAGGCTGCCCACTCTCTCCACATATCAGAAATGTAAACACCTTTAAAAGTCATGAGCATGGCACCGAAGAGAAGCGATAAGCACAACCTATGTAGCACCAATACGACACGCGACACGTGACAAAAAATCGACACGATACTCCGACATGTCAATCCTAGAATAATATGGATTTCAACACGTTAGGACACGTTTTAAAATTAAATAATATTTTTAATTTATATAGCGTATATTTCATTTAATATTCAATAATTTAACAAAAAAATGAAACTAAATTAATAATACTCATCAACACGTTATAAAGGTGGAAGCTTTAATAAAAAAAAAGGAACTGGGATGAGAGAGATAATATCAGAGAGAGAGAGAGAAAGAGAGATCAAATCAGATTAGAGAGAGAGATCAGAGAGAAGACACAGCAAGAGCGTAACAGGAATGACAACGATGATGCTCAGATGATCTCTTATCTACTTAAAGGGAAAAAAAGGCAAAAAAAAAAAAAATTGATATGATCAGGTGAAAGCTTTATTAATATATTTTAATTTTATAAAAAAATAATTTTTTTAAAAAAATATAATATTTTTACGAAATGCCATTTGACAGTGTCAGAGCGTGTCAGAATGTTGTCGGACACAGTCAAATTCGTGTGTCGAAATGATCAACGTGTCGGGAATGTTGACCGCGTGTCGGACACAGTTTTGGAACGTGTCGGGGCGTGTCGGACACGATACTCCCTGTTTTTTGGAGTGTCCGTGCTTCTTTGAGGACAACCCTATCCTATAATTGGCCCTTAAAAATTCAGGCTTTCTTTTTCAAACGGATACACCAAAGAAAAGAACATAAAAACTGCATAATGCCACAAAATTCTGGCATCCTGTTTTGTCCGCAAACCTTTAAAAAGAAACAAGACAAATTGCTCCTAAGTGTTAAGTGAAGGGGCACACCCAAGATTCATTCAGAATACCAAACATCTTATTCCAAAGGAGGGTAGGTACCGCACTAATACAATATAGAAATAAAGGGCTACTGATGGAGTATTAATCCTCCTGATTCAGTACAGCGGTCCAGACAAAGGACAAGAGCAAGACAGACATGGAGTTTTAGATTTCCAAACGTGGTTGTTAACAAGAAACTTATCTATGTTAGGAGAAATAAGAGAATGTTTAAGAAACTGAAAATAGGACTTAAGAAAACACTCCAGAAGAATCAATTACTTGATTGGAATAATCGTGACTAATTCAGGCAAAAGCAAAAGGGATTGAATCTCATTATTCCCCCAATTATTCAGGCCCCTTCTAAAGTGGAAATTGAAAGAAAGATTTAGAACCCCGAATAAAGTAATATATTCTTTATGGTGCATAGTGTAAAGAAGACGAATGATATAGGCAAGGAAATGCCTCCAAAAAGGAATATCCACACTAAGACAACCACCCAAAATCTGGCATGGCAACCACCCTCCAAACCAAGAAGCAAGTGGTCTATAAGAACCACTCTCCCAATGGATAAATTTCAACACACAGAGCAACTGAATATTCATTAAAGCTTAAGTGACTAGTTGGAAATATCCACCATGGACCTACCTCAATACAAGTAGACAAAAGCAAACAGGAAAAAGTTATATTCACTCATAATTTCATATTTCATAAATTGGATTATATTTTAAAAAAATGTGTAGGAATTAGAAAGAAAAATAATTGAAAATAACAAGCCCTATAAATATCAGGCAAATAGGAGGAACCTGCTTCCCTGAAGCTCGAGACATTCTCTCATGCTCCTGAAGAGCCTCCTCCACTCTCTGAACTGCTGCTCTGGCATTATCTATTTCAGAGCGAGCAAAGGCTCTTTCCTCATCTACAAGCTTCTTAGCATCTGCAGAAGCCTACAAATGAATCTAAACTCTCAACATTGGAAAAGAAAACTTCTTTATGCAGCCAACAACCAATTATAGAAGATATAAACTGAAAGGCAAATCTATTTCATAGATAGGAACTAATATTGTTAGTTATCTGTTGTAAAAAAATAAAAAATAAAAAAATAAGAGAGAGAGAGAGAAATTAAAGAAATTAAATGACAAAAGTAAAATAGGAGGTTCTTGACAATGTACTTCTATGGTTAAAGCCACCTTTTATTGTTTTAGAAGTTATATTAGAAATATATATATGTCCTCAAGGACAACAATTAGTAGAATGAACAGAACCACAGCCCATTGGAAGGACAGGTCACGTTTCCAATCATTCCATAATAATGCTGATAAAATAATGTAAAGACTTCCTAGAGGGTTCGTTCCCTTGACATATTAGATAGCCTAATAATAGACCAATAGAGAGACAAAGTTGCAGCATGCAACGTTTTGTTCATTGTGTATGCATCGTTATATGCAATCATTACAAATTTTCTATGTGTTGATTATTGAGATTGCAAATACTCTCTGATTGTTCCTGTGATATTCCAGTCATTCTTGGGCTCAAAGAAATAATATGCTGCTCAATTCATGGCAGTGTGAAGATTATGTTGCCCTTTGATATCTTTGATTGAAGCAACGTGTTTCCAAGTTTTAAGGAATTTTGTGTGCTTAAATTTTTTATGGGATGTTCAGCAGAGTTTATTTCAGGGTATTTCTTTAGCAGACACGGAGAGGGATTGGAGAGCTCTTTTATATTAATTTTAATGTTAGTCATGTTCTGCTTTTTATTCGCTGCTGAGTTTAGCGAGAATATAATATTCTTCTTCTTTGTAATCCTTTTTCTATTTCTCATGAAATTTCTGCTTCTATCACCAAAAAACGGTCAAAAAAGTTAACCTCACCTGCTTAAGAAAATTTGTTAGCTTCTTCACCTCAGCCTTCTCTTGTATTAGTTCCCCTTCCCTTTGAGTCAACTGAACTGCTAGAGATTCAACCTGCAGAATTCACTACGTAAGTTACAGTTCATTTCTTCAAAAGATAGTACAAGCACAAATAAACTGGTGCAAGAATAACTATTCTATAGAATATTGTAATTTTTGCGCTGGAGAGGTGGTGTAATGAATCTATTATTATATAAATGAGAAAACTTAAGATAATACATATTTTAAGAAAACTATCTCATAGTTTATTCTCAAAGCCTTTCCATTCATTCTCCCCATCCATCCCTACCATGATCCCACCCTCTTTCTTTTCCCCTGAGTGCCTATATGTTTATTCTGACCTATCTTTATAGAAAAAGAATGACATCAACATACAAGTGCTCGGCAATCACGTTGGATATTTATTGATGTAACTCCTTTAGAAACATATAAACGCCAAAAGAAGAATATTTTAATGACACCCAAAAAATAAACTATCCAATTAGCAAATGTATATTATGCAGGAATTATTATTCATTCCTTATTCAACAACTACACCACATCATGGCAAATTTTTTGCGCTCGAGATTCCCAAGACCCTAAAATGAATTGGCAGTTCTTAATGGGCTAACCTGATGCACGCTAAAACTTCAAATAATCTACTAGAAATATTTGATGCAACCAAGCAATGCTAACAAAAATTCATGATTCACTTGCTAGGCGTCCAGCAACATGCCATTAGTATATGTAAAGAACCAATTCAACCCAAAACCTTAAGGCGTTGGGTGAGGTTACATTAATGGTTTTATATATCTCTAACACGCCCCCTCACATGAGAACTCACTGGGCTTGAAGGGTGGATGATACACAGACCCACCTACCTATGTTAAGAAATTCCACAAGAGAAAGTGGGAGGAGATGAGGATCGAACTCTGGACATGAGGCTCTAATACCATGTAAAGAAGCAATTCAACCCAAAACCTTAAGGCGTTGGGTGAGGTTATATTAATGGTTTTATATATCTCTCTAATAGTATATTAGGTGCTACCACTTATCAAACAAAAGCCATGAGTTTAAAGGGCACTCAACCTTGTAAAGAAGATTGACAATAGAGAAGAAACACTTAAATGTTCGTGCAGAAACAAGGAACTTTAGGAAAGACTATGAAGGAGAACTATGTATCCTCAACTATCCCAAGTACAAATTTATGGTCATACATCCAGACAAATAACTAACTTATCTTCTCACGCTAAAACAATTCATAAACGGATTCATTACCCAACACCCACTATCCATTACCTTAAACACATGACAAGATAAATATGAAAATATGTTTATTGGGTATAGATAGAAACGAAGCACATATTTTCCTATAAAAAAGGAACTAACCATAGCAATAGCTTCCTGTACGTCATCCTTGTTTCTTCCTGCCACTCGCCCTTTTAAGGATTCTAGTGCATCTCTAAGCTTCTTCAAAAGAACATGTTTTTCCAGCGAAGCTGCTTCCCTAAGTCTAGCCTGAAATTTACCACCAAACAACAAACTAATTTAAAATGAAGACATGAATTACTTTGGAAATTAAGATCACCGATAATTTCGACTGAAAACATTAAAAAAAAAAAAACATTACATGATAAAAAATCTGAAGTTGAAATACCCTCCAAAATGTAAGCATCAAATTGGTATAAAAAAATTGTCAAACTTTAAATAGAAAAAGTGTGACCTCTTCAGACAACTTAGCAGCAGCAGCCAAACCCTTCTCAAATTTACTGGCAAGGTCGCGAACAGATAGACGTTTCTGCTGTTCCAACAGCTGTGCAGTCTCACGTGCAACAACCTCCTTCATAGATAGAACTTTTGGGTCATCCTTTGTCTCCATGATCTGATTGTTAACTCCAAGTTTGTAATTAGGAAATCGAAGAGAAGCAAATATCACATCAGCAGATACTGCTGGCACTGCCTCTTTCTGCATAGTATCACCAAAATCACGGGTAACCCTTGTCATTTTCGCGAGCTATTACCTCTGTCAATAACAAAAATGCAATCTTTAGCAAAACAATAATATAGCAAATTAAGTTCAGTTATAGCAGTTCAATGAATTCTGCAAATATACCAAAAGAAAAAGGAACATTCACTCACAGATATGCATGAACAGAAGAAAATAATAACCAAAAACATACAGAAAAATCAGAAACTAATAAATTGAGGTACCACTAGTCCAATCTGCCCCTTAAGCTAATTGAAATCAAAGCAAAATTTTAAATCTTTTAACAATAAAACTAAACCCTAATTTTCCAGCTTTTAACACTTTTTTTCTTCCTTTCTTTTCTATTTGAGGCTACCATGGGAAAGCTAACAGCATAAAAATAAAAATAAAAGAGTTTGAACTTACAGATCATGAGATGACAAATAATGGGTAGTTGAGCTTGGGATTCTCGAACCAGATGCAAATGGGTTGCTCCAATTTGGTTATCCAACAAGAGAGAGAGAGAGAGAGAGAGAGAGAGAGAGAGAGAGAGAGAGAGAGAGAATAGGCAAAAAAAGATGATAACTTTGCTTTTTGAAAGGAAAAAGAAAGAAGGGAAAGAGAATGCTGGCTTGGTCCCTCAGTTAGTTTGTATTTGAAGTGTTAACGTTTTCAGTTGGAGTGTTTTGAACTTGGATACTCTGTGTGTTGTGTTGTCATGCCTTATGCTTTAAACTCAAACTCTCTGGCGGGTCCCATGGTTCTGTTATTTCTCTTTAGTTTACTTCACTGTTCACTCACGCTTTTTGCTGGAAACAACACTACAGTACAGTGTCATTCTTTTTAAGTTTTATCTGTAATTATTGTATAACGGAAGCACATTGCTTTGTTTGTTAGCTATTTGACTTTGCCTACTTTAAAGAAAAGTAAAGTGTTTTGAATTATTTTGTTGACATGCATAATAATGATGTCAGGGAACACTTCACCAAATTTTGAGTTATGTTCTGCTCGAAGGGGTCGTTTTCATTGTGTATTCAAAACTCCTTGCACTCTTTCATTCTACCATCTATTATTATTTATGATCTATAGACACTTCCAAAAATTTAACGTGTAGTATCTGACATTTTTCAATATTTTTTAACATTTCAACACACTTTTCTGAGACTTAAAAATGAGTTCAAAAGGTTTTGTTGCATTTTTTGTTTTAATTATTAAATTTATTGGGTTATGATTATTATTTTATTGAGTTTAATATAAATATTTGTGATATTTTATGATTCTTTATAAAATTGATGGATATTATAAGTTTAGTTTTATTTTTTGTTAAATTATTAAATATTAAATAAAATTTACATTACATAAATCAAAAATATTATTTAATACTTAAATATGTCCTAACATGTCAAAATTTAATATTTTTTTAAATTAATGTGTCATAACATCATATCGTGTCTCGTATCTCGATCTTGATACAACATAGTCTACCATGATGTAGCTCGAAACTCATAGGTTTCCAGCTTACATGACCATTTTGGCTTCAGATTCAACTTGTTCATTTAAAGCACCTTTAACAAGAAGTTCCAGCTTATTTGTAATAAATAGTACGTAAGTATTAATATAACCTATAAATTAAGATTTGTGGCATGCTTATTGGCATTGGATTGGAATGTCTTTTTCTCTCCCTGAACTTTATATTAACAAGACAAGAAAAAAGAGTATCAATAGCAAGTGGGACCTTTGTATTGAAAATATAAGGTGGGAGAGGAAGAAAATCTTGGTAAGTTCTTCCATAAATAAGAATAAATAGCTTTGCAACATAATTACGTGCAATAGGATTGCAGTAGCGTTATGGGTAAAAAAGACTAATAACGCAAAGAAAATGAGCTATCTCCATCCATACAACAATAATGACTAGTAAATATGGATTTAATGTTCGTCGATGTAAAATTATTTGGAAAAAAAATATTTACATTATCATCTAATTATATAAAAAAAAATTAACTAATTAGAATATTAGTTAAAAAGTTTAACATTTAAGTAAACTCTGGATATATTATTTAGCTTAAGCCCATTAAGTTTTAGGTAAAATTTTCAAATCTTCAAATCTTTAGGTACTCTTGACAGTACCAAATATAAAGGGGTGTTTACTCTCATTCATTATACATTATGATTATGGCTGATATTAATATTGGCTTGAACGTTAAAGTGCCTTGTAGATATACAACCCTTTTTGTCTCATCGGAGCATACGAAGGAGCATCCAGTCGCCACTACCATCAGATTGTAATTCACAGGTCCTATAATGGTGTTTCTCTCAAACACTCAAACGCACAAACAAGTCTATGAATATACCTCTTTATTATATTACTGATTCAGCCAAGCCACATTACAAGAGTTACAATGAGCTATTTATAAATAATAGCAAATAGTTAAGAATACTAATGACCAACTTAGGAAATCTAAACATAATAATGACTACTTCTTAGAAACTTTAAACTCATTAATGTCCACTAACAAATTCCTAAGAGACACACCCCTTTATCACAAAACTCTTCATTTTCTATTTTTTTAATTAAATAAAGTTTAAACCCAACAAAACTCCCCCTTAAACTTTATTCATTCCCATCTTCTTCTTGCAATTCTCAAGCAACAATGTCGGCAGGGGTTTTGTGAAAATATCTCCAACTTGATCTCGGCTTGCAACATGAATGAGCTCCACCTTTCCTTCTCTGACTTGATCTCGGATGAAATGAAACCTGACATCAATATTCTTACTTCTCTCATGGTTGACCAGGTTCTTTGCTAACTCGATCGCTGATCTGTTGTCAACTCGAATCTCGGTTGGGCCGACTTGCTCTTGCTCCAGCTTGCTTAGTAAATTCCTAAGCCATATTGCATGGCAAACACACCAAGATGCCGCAACGTACTCGGCTTCACATGTAGACAGGGTCACAATGGGTTCCTTCTTCGACACCCAAGTAAACGCTGTGTTTCCCATGAAGAACACATAGCCAGCCGTGCTCTTCCTATCATCAACATCTCCGCACCAATCACTATCTGAATAACCCATCAACTTGTATTTGTCCGACTTCGAGTAATGAAGTCCTTGTGAGATTGTTCCCTTCACATATCTTAGAATTCTCTTTGCCGCCTTCCAATGAGTATAGCTCGGCTCTTCCATAAATCGGCTTATTATTCCAACACTCAGCGTACACGTCAAGTACCTCAGACTTCCAACTAGACTCCGATAAATACTCGAATCTACCTTTTCTCCTCCATCATATCTTGAAAGTTTAACGTCGGGTTCCATGGGGGTTGAAACCGGGTTGCAGTCACTCATTTTAAACTTCTCTAAAATTCCTTTTGCATAGGCTTCCTGAGAGACGAAGATCCCGGATTCATCTTGTCTAACCTCCAAACCAAGAAAATATCTCATCAGACCGAGATCCGTCATCTCGAACTCCTTCGTCATTTTCTTCTTAAAATCTTGAATCATTCCTTCATCATTACCCAAGAAAATCAGATCATCAACATATAGAGCAACAAGTAGAATTTTACCTCCTTTCTTCTTTACATAGAGTGCATGTTCATATGGACATTGTTCAAGTCCATCCTTCTTGAAATAATTATCAATCCTCGTGTTCCAGGCTCTTGGGGCCTACTTCAAACCATATAAGGCTTTCTTTAATCTTAACACTTTTCTTTCTTGTCCGGCTTTCATGAATCCCGGAGGTTGTTCCAGATACACCTCTTCTTCGAGTACTTCATTTAAGAATGCCGACTTCACATCCATCTGATAGATCGGCCATCCGAATTGGGCTGCTTGAGAGATCAACAGCCTGATTGTCTCCATTCTTGCTACGGGTGCGAACACCTCGTCATAATCAATGCCGGCCTTCTGCCTATACCCTTTCGCCACTAGCCGGGCTTTGTATCTTTCGATCTCTCCCTTAGCGTTCATTTTCTTCTTGTACACCCATTTCACACCAATGGCCCGAGCAGCTCGGCAAACTCCCACGTCTTATTCTTTTCTATTGCATTAATCTCCTCCTCCATGGCTGATTGCCATTTCTCATCTCGGATTGCTTCTTCAAAACTCACTTCTTCAGAATCTGTCAACAAACATACCAAGTGTGCTTCGTTAGTTGAGTCATACAAGTCTTGCAAGCTCCTCATTCTCGGTTGTCTCTGCTCTTCATCATCAGAGATTTCATGATTAGCTGGGATATGGGACGAAGGTTGTCCAACCTCAATTGTCATTTTCCCGGGTTCAACATTCACCCTGGATGGACAACCCCAGTCCCAAGCATCTTCTTCATTCACCTTCACATCTCGGCTTATCAACACCTTTTTATTGACGGGATCCAACAACTTGTACCCCTTTGTCTTCTCATCATAACCAATGAATACATACTTCTTACTTTTATCTTCAAGTTTCGTTCTCAACTGATTCGGTATGTGTGCATATGCAATACTACCTAAAATCTTGAAATGAGCCACTGATGTCTTTAGACCGCTCCATGCTTCTTGTGGAGTTTTATCATTCACACTTGAGTTCGGACATCGGTTCTGCACGTACACTGCACATTGTACGGCCTCTCCCCATAACTCTTTCAGCATGTTCTTCATTTTCAACATAGATCGGACCATATCCAGGATAGTCCGGTTCTTCCTCTCAGCTACTCAATTTTGCCGGGGCGAGTACGGTGCGGTCAGGAACCGCCTTATCCCATGTTCTTCACAATAATTCTTGAAAGCTGTTGACACGTACTCCCCACCTCGGTCTGAACGGACCGATTTGATGTACCTCCCAGTACCATTCTTTATCATTACTTTAAAACTCCTAAATGCCTCTAGCACCTCAGATTTTTCCTTCAAAAAATACACCCAAGTCTTTCGACTGAAATCATCAATAAAGGTTACAAAATACTTCTTACCACTGAAAGACCCCGGAGTAATGGGTCAACACAGGTCGGCATGGATCAACTCCAGAGGCTGCCTAGCTCGGTATCTCGCCATCCTTTGGAACGGGCTCCTCGCATGTTTTCCTAATACGCAATCCTCACAAAATTTTCTTTCAGAGTTAATCTTTGGTAGTCCCACAACCATGTTTTTCTTCATCATCTCGGTCAGACCACTATAGTGAAGGTGTCCAAACCGTCGATGCCACAAATCCATCTTATCTTCTACCCCGGCTTGCAGACAGTCGACCTCCATGCTTCTCAAACTCAACTTGTACATTCTGTTTTTCTCCATCTGAACTCGGGCTATCAGACGCCCTTGTTTGTCTTTCAATAGTAGAACTCGGTCTGTCATTAGAACCGAGTAGCCCTTTTCCATTAACTGTCCAATGCTCAGAATATTGCTTTTGAGCTCAGGCACATAATACACGTCCTGAATTGTACCAACTCATCCATCCTTTTGCAAGAAACAGATCGTACCTCGACCTTTTACATCAATTTTGGACACGTCTCCAAAAGAGATATGTCCGGCTTCCACCGTTTTCAACTCCTTGAACAGATGTTTGTAACCACACATGTGATTACTGGCACTAGTATCCAAGTACCACTCTGTCTCACTCTTCGAACTCGTTTCACCATGTGCCAACATCAAAACTCCTTCATCTCTTATCTCTCCTTCTGCAGCAAAGTTTGACGTC